TCTTATTCAAACGCAAAGCAGCCTATGCCCCAACCAAGGTCAGGTGTAAAGTGAGCAGAACTGGATGGTGAACCCCTATCCTAAGTTTCATGGGAGCATGTGGAAGGAGCCCCATTAGGGGCATGATGCTGCTGGCCTCTCTCTTCCCTACCTAATCCCGTGTGGGAGGAGGAATCACTAATAGGATTGGTGCATATAGGAGAAGAAACAGCATGCTGGACTCAACCCTTCCTCTCTTCTCCCCTTTTGGGATCTGCTTTACAGCAGGGCTCTGAAACTCAGCTCTTCCTTGTCCTAAGAGTCAGACACCCATGAGAGGCTTGTCCAGCCACACCTGTGCTGATTAAGGAAGTCTATCAAGTTCGGTGGTGAAGGTCAACAAGCCCACTTAATCCAACTCTCAACCATGTGTTGCAGCCCAGAGTTTATCAGTAATAAGACTGACACTCTTATCTCAACCTGGCAGTAGTATATCTCCTTAGTTCTACTTCTTAAGCAAGGAAGAGCATTAGTCATTACCTCCTCAAGTCCAAATATTAAGTACTACTGTAACTAAGAGGACACAAACACCCTGCTGATCTGAAGTACATAGCACAGGGTCTAAAGCCTGCTCAGTAACAAGAATGTGAGATCAGCTGAAAGGCTTTGATGGTACAGCACAGTCAAGGTCAAGGTTCCTTCCTACATTATGACTCTGGATAAAGAACAAAAAAGCATATTCTAATTCGTTCATCTTCATTCTTATTCTCTGCCCCGCCCCGCCCTTCTTCTCTCTCTCCCCATTGTCTGATACAGACAGATACTCAAAATTTTTGTATGATTTCTACTTTCTGTGATATGAAACCTGACCTTCCTGACCTAGCTCTAATTCTATTTGCCAATGTGCCCTTCACTCTCCCATACCCTAGTCCAAAAGTTGAAACAAAATAATGACTTCTTTAGATATAAAGAATAAGGGTTTTAGGACTAATTCTGGGATATGTAGCCCACAGAATATGATAAATATCCATGACTTCATACTAATAAAAATAACTAAATAACCAGGGAAGAAGGGACAGCTCCTTCTTCCAGAAGAACCCACTGAATAATAGAAGAAACCAGGAAAAAAAGGAAAACTTATGCCTGTTCATTAGCTGATAAGGAGCCGTCAAGACAACCCTATGGTTCTAGAGCTCCAGAGTAAATCTGTTTAAATCAGGCAAGTTTCTCCTCTCCATTCATATAAATTTCACTGGGGCCAAGGCAGCTGCCACCACCTTACAGCCAGGGAAGCAGAGGTGTTTGGCCATGAAGTAGGAGCCAGAAGATCTATCTCCAGGTCCAAAATGGCTCAAATTCAACCCTGTACAATCTAAACCTCTTCTCACCCTCTTTAGACCACGGAATTTCTGATTTTCATTTCTTTCCTTGAGTTACTGGTCCATGACCCAGCAAAATTCCAATCATGTTTCAAGACCCCGCACAGTTCTTCAAGAGTCCCCAGCATTATCAGGACTCATTAGTTGCAATTAACAGTAAACTCAAACTGCCTTGAGCAAAAATAGAATTTCCTCATAGACAAAACTAAGATGTCCAATGGTAGTCTAGCTTCAGACTCAGCTAGATCTAGGGACTCAAATGACCCATCTCTTTGCAATACCAGCTCTATTCACAGATGGGCTTTTCTCTCACAGTGGGAAGATGGCTGCCAACAGCTCTAAGTCAACATCCTACACTCTCAGCTAACCCAACAGAAAAGACAGAGCTGATATTCCCCAAAAGGGTCTTGGACCTAATACTTACTGGACAAATATGCCTTAATTGATCATCCCAGATTCAATGTCTACAGCCAGCACAATGGACTCGCTTGGCCAATGATGGTGGGGTAAGCCCTACCCAAATCTTATGCAATATATATGTAAGATAGAAGGGCTTCCTGAAGGAAAATCTCAATACTGTTCCCCACAATGAGAATGACTCCTGAGCTGCAAAATTGACAGATACGCACTAAATCCCAATCCCTTGGTCAGAATCAACTCCATCCTGTCATGTCCAGCAATTTGCCTGGACGTCTATACTATCAGTAACTTTCTTCTGCTTTATGAACAAGCAAGGTTACACACATCCTGGGCATCAGGAATCTGGTTCTCCAGACCCTCGCAGCTGCCTAGCAAAGTGCCACTGTGCCCCCAGAATCCACTTCTTCACCCTGATGGTGCAGAGCTGAGTCATGGAAGCCGGCCTCTAATGCCAACCTTGAAAGTACTTCTCAAAGTCACTGCCTGCTGCACTAGTCTCTGGGCTTTGACATACTCTGGAACCTGGAGATGCTGGCTTGACAGGTGAGATAATGATGTTTTATCCTTCACTCACTCCTTTATCAGTCACAATGATATGAAGGAATAAGTGCTTAAATCGAAAAAAACACTCCTGCAGGATTTACTTGTGCTCTTCCATGCCAACTGGTTCCCTCTTCCCAGGCACAATTCCTGGAGACCAGTCTGCATCCTGTTATCTGGTGTGCCCAGTCACCACACACTACCCTCTCATCAATTTCCAAGCTGCACTTTCCTTACCACATCCCCAAATCTTCCCTCTTCTCCAGAAGCCATGGTACCACTGTCTTCCAAATGACTTACATAAGTGACTGTCCTCAATTGCCCACCTGGTCTGCAGATTCCCCAAGGCAGAGAGGCCTTGCCCCAAATCCTGGCCTGAACCTCTCTGCAGAAGTCACTCTGGTGATGAGGAGATGAGGAAGAGTGAGGAGGGGAGGAAAGAGGACATTATATCTCAGAGATGGGGCTTTGAGACGCTCAATAAAAAACCAACATAACACCTATAATCCTAGCTACTTGGGAGACCAAGATTGGGAGGATCACAGTTTGAGGCCAACCAAGGCAAATAATTTGTGAGACCCCCAAATCTCCAAAATAACCAGCAAAATGGACTGGAGGTGTAGAGTATCTGCTTTGCAAGCAGCAAAATGCCAATCCCACAAAAAAATTTAAAAAAAAAAACTTTCAATCATTCATGTGTCCAACAAGCCTATATTCAGAACCAACTGTGTATCCTGGGTACTCATATTAGTGTTGTAGACCCGGAGATGCACAGCACAGACCTGGTCTCTGTCCTCATGGAACACACCTTCCAAGAGACATCAGACTTACTTTCTTTTCATACCTGATTTGTTTTTCACTGTCTCAGATATTATCTACATAATCCTCAGTAAGAGATATAACTGGCTCTAGTTTACAGTCAAAGAAAATGGCAGTTCCAAAAGACCAGATGACTTCCCCAAAGGCAACACACAAACTTAGGTCTTCTGAATGCAAACCTTATACTCTTCCTGGGGTCTCTTCAATGGCAAGGAACTAGCAGAGTACAGCCTGGCATTGAAACAGATATTAAATTAACTCCAACCTAGTCATTTTTGCTAAAGATACCATATATAAAAGGAGAGAGAACCCCAGCTCATGATCTAAAGGGACCAATAGTTTAAAGAGAGAGAGAAAGACATATAACTAACTATCCTCGGTAGCAAGAATAAAGATAGAATGATTAAATGCAAATAGAAAGATAGCTCTGGAAAGATACACAAAAAATAATGACTGCCTCCAAACAGCAAAATTGGGTTCCTGAAGAACAAGCCTAAGATGGTCATTTTGTCTGTTTCAGATATTATATATTTTGAATTGTGTACCACTTGAATGTGGTACATTAAATAACACTTTGAGGATGCAATCAGCCAAATCCCGAATATGGAAAATTCTACAGGATAAATGATCTGGTTTCCTCAACAATCAAAGAGGTAATAAAAAATAAAATAAAATAAATGAAGGGAAAGAAAACGTTATAGCTTTTAAAGGTTTTCTTTGTTTGGATCTAGATTGGAACAAAATATAAAAAGACCTTTTGGGGACTAGGGAAATCTGAACATGAACTAGCAATTAGAGGTAATTAAGGAATTGTTAATCTTGTTAGGTATGATCACAGTTTGGTTGATTTATGGTTTTTCAAAGCTTCTTATCTATTGGAGATACATACTGAAGTATTTATAGATGAAACAATAGGTCTAAGATTTGCATTTAAATATTTCAGCAAAAACTAATAAATAAGTGAAGGAATGAATAAATAAAGGAGGGAATAGGTGACAAATAGGATATTGACACTTTCTCAGGCTGGATGACAGTTCCACAGGGGTTCATTATACTATTCCCTTTTCTCTTGTGGATGGTTGGAATTTCCATAACGAAAATTTAAATTAAAAAAATTTTTTATTAATTACCCCATCCACAAAGGATGCCTGAGAAGGAAAACAGCACAGTATGGAGGTATCCAAGGTGAATCTGAAAGGATGAGTAGGAATTTTCTTAGGGCATTCCAGGCTGCGGGGACCACTTGAACAAAGACAAGCCAGTCTACCTCTCATAAACCTCTCTCTGGAGAAGCCAAAGGTATCTATGCTTGACCTCAAACAATGCCCTCTTGTTTGATCCCCCAACTCTCTAGGATATCAAGATATAGCATCTACATCAACAAACCTGTTCTAAGTGAGAAGAAGGGGTGTGGGGCCCATAGCTCCACTCTTGCAAGAGTCTCCCAAATGGTCTTGGAGGACAAAAAAGCAATTAACCTTTTTCAGTTGGGCTCTGCCTAACAATGTGGTTTGGAAGTCTGCTGAGTTATCTCAGGGACAAAGCCAACATCTCTCCAGGGTCATCCCCCACTTCTGCTTCCACCAGAAATACACACTGGCCTCCCCAATAGCACCTCATAATAATAACCTCAGTATAGGGACACAGCTTGATGCAGGTCTGGCAGCATCACTCACAGGCATTAAAACACCTCCACGTGAAGAAGGTGGTACTCTGCTGCTTCCTCCCAAACCCTCATGGCCATGGCTCCTACATCAATACCCACTCTATCCTCTGCCTGCCTCCAGTTGCCCACAGGAAGCTGGCTGGCTGTTCTGCCACTTTAGACTTGGCCTGGCTCAGATGGGTCCCACTGGTCCTTACCTCAGATCGAAGATGCAAGTACTCCTCTGAGCCATAGGGGACACTCCTCAAGGAGGTGAGGTAGTCATAACTGATGACAGCTGTCTGTGAAACAGTGGAGGGGAAAGTTTAGCACTCGGACATACATAATACTCCTCTGCCCAAGTCCTACAGCTGCAGTCCCTGACATGGGCTGCCAAGTCTGCAGGAAGGGCCAGTACCAGGCCTCAGATGTTCTGCCCCCAGATCTTGGCCTGGCTGGGTTTTTCCTGACATCAGCACTCTGCACAAATGTTCCCTACTCAGAGGGGCCCGACCTCAAGTTTCCCCTATGCACCAGAATTCTTGGTTATGTACCATAGCAAATCCCCATTCAACATTATCTTGCTCATTTGTTCCCTCGTTAATGAACTTACGCTCTGTAAGACCAAGGGCTAGTCCTTCCTGCTCACTGCTGTACCCCCAGCACCTTTTACACTTCCAGGCACACAGAATGCTGCTAGATAAACTTATCTACTTCTCCATGTCACAAATAAACATTGAGGATAATCTAGTCCAAATCTTCTTTTTGAGAACTGAGCAACTAAGGACCCTAGAAATTAAGGATCTTACAAGATTTATATTAAAGAGTCTGTTCCTTTGTCTGCATTCCCCAAAGCATAACTCCACTCAACACATACTTACTGAACACCAACCACCAACAAGACCTGCTCACTGAGCAGTGTACCAAGACCACAGCCCTTTAAAGAATGCACAGCTTAGTGACTAGTTTATAAAGCATTGGTTGACACTTTCCTCCCTTCTTTCCAGCTAGTCAAATCCATAAAGTTCCATTCAAACTCTGCTTCCCTGAAGACATTCATGGTGATTCCCAGGCCTCAGCATTCACTTCTATGTCTGACCATAGCAGCAGTCTTGACGGGTGAATGGCTTTCGATTTCATGTGGGGGTGCAATGGCCAAAGGCTCCTTCAAAGCTGGGTCTAGATGTGACAGTCTATTTCCATCCCTCAAATGACATAAGACAACACAGGGCCCAAAACAGACACTCAATAAACACTTGAGGATGGTTTCATGTTCCATATCCTGCTATCCAAAGCCTACTTGTCTGACTTGATTCAATAACTCAGCTTACCCTTGAGGGCAGGGACCACGTCAGTGGCTTCCCCTCTGAGCTAGGCTCAAAAGAACACTTGGTAACACTTGAAATAATTAGACAACGACCAAAACAGAGTTCCATCTTGATGCATATCCACATCAAGGGGAAGAAAGGATGAGCTCACCTGCAGCAGATAAAAGAAGAGAAAAAGCATGAGGCATGTGACAATCTGCCCACAAATGGAGCAACAACAGCTGGGAGAGTCACCATCAGCAGAGTTAAGAGGACATGATCACATCAGGACAATGTTGCTACTGAGCCACTGGAGCAAACCTCCAAAGGTCAAATATTCAACTCTGTCAGTTTGGGGATCACAAGGGATTCTCAAAGTCCTCAAAGCCTACACACTCCACCTGAGTCCTGCATTGGAGCATTCACGCTAGCTCACTGTTTGTTAGCTCAAGTTTGCTGGCAGAATTTAATCTGCAAAGTCTTTTTTCCATTGAGTCTTCTTACCTCAGCATTTGCTGAGGAACACTGCCCCTCCAATTCATCAATAAAATAAGACAGAACCAAAAAGATAAAGGCTTCAGAGCACAGACGTTGTGCAATGCCATCCTATTCAACTGCACGGCAACAGATCGAGAATGAGCAGGAGTGAAGGTGTGCGAGGATGTGCACCCATGTCTGTGCAGCTTGTGTAAATGGGGCTTTGGCACATGTAAGGGTACACATGTACCTCCACATAGGTAAGACCAGCAGGCCCATCTGCTAAGTATATGGAACACTTGTAAGTAATACTGAAGTTCCTCTGTCACCCCCAAAATAAGAAAAACCTACCGTAGCAACTGCTCTGCCCACCCTGACAGCACCAAAGTCACTAGGGTCCAAGTACTTGTTACTGTAGAGGTAGACACCAGAGGCACCAAGAGCCATGCTGGTCCATGAAGCAAACTTGAGAGCCTTTCTGGCCATGTCTCCAGACCCTGCCGAAGAAAGAAAAGTCAAGAAAGATTAGCAGATAAAGTTTTCACAGTCAAACCAGGATTCAAATCCTGATTCTGTCACTTATAGACTATATGATCTTGGGTTGCTTTCTTAATCTTATTGGGTCCCAGTTTCTTCATTTAGAAAATAGGATAATACCTACCTCAAATTTGGGGGGGATAAAATGAGTTAATTGCATAAAATGATTAGTGCAGTACTTGGTGCAAGTTAAAGTCCTTCCTTCAACAGTAACAGGTACTGTTTTAGATATGCGAAGGAGAGTGAGCAAAACAGAGTGCTCTCCCACATGGACCTTAAAGTCTACAGGTGATAAGCAAAAAGATTTATAATATATTAGAAACATCATAGGTGTTACTAAGTGCTGTGAGGAAAAGCAAAAAGGGTAATGGGATCTAAAGAGAGGAAGAGTGCTATTTTAGATCAGAAAAACAGGAAGAGCACTTAACCACTGCTATGTGTAACTTCTTTTTTATGCTTATCTTTATGTTACCTCATAGTAATTATTTGCACTTGTAATTTTATGTTTGGACATTAAATGATTTATTTAAATGGTCTAAGAGTTAATCTTCCAGTGGAGAAATTTAAGGATGTAAAAAGATGTTGGCCTTATATTTTGGATTAATTTTGTTTAGGTTTTTTTTTTTTTTTTTTTGAAATGGGACTTCTTTTTGTTTTGTTTTGGTCAGTGTCTCACTATATAGCCCAAGCTTGCCTCAAACTCACTATGTAGTCCAGACTGGCCTCTAATTCACAATCCTCCGGCCTCATCCCAAATGCTATGATGATTACAGGCATGAATGAGCTGCCATTTATAATTATTATTATACTAGCACACAGGTGCAGGCATCATTAGCCTTAATGCCCAGGTCAAAGTGGTCAGTCCTCTACCAAAATGCCAGGTAGGCGGAAGCAAACAGTAATTTCTCCGTCTGGCTGATTTTCAAAATATTTATTTCACTTAGAGTAGATGACCCCTTATCTAGGCTATATTTCTTGAGGGCAAACACCATTATTAGAAATAAAGTGGTGGTCCATTTTCAAGGCATTTAACCTAGATGCTTGTTTGCTATCAGCTTGCAGATGTCGGGGGGAGGGGCAACTGAAATGGGAACTTAAACTGGGAGGGGTAAATCACGATAGAGTAAGGGAATAGGTTAAACTGTGTACGTTTTTACCTCTTTAGCAGGAAGAGGTGATCCCACTTCTAAAATTTTATCAATCCCAAGGGGTACATTTTAAAATAACCCAACAGAAATGAGGCAATGTCTGGGAAAAGAATGGAAACCATAGTACTCAGTCAATTAGGAACGGGAGAGGGACTTGCGCACTAGACAATATAATGCCTATTGTAAGTTTCTGGGGTCTCTTCTCCTCAGGTATCCGATCTTGCAAGATTGTCACTAAAGACTCAATTTCACTGGACTCCATGAGTCTCTGAGTCCATTATTTGAGTTTGGACAAGTAAGTGTATTTCTCACTCCATGACTGTTGTTTCTTTGCCCCTTCACAGTCCTGTGGGTATATAGGGTTAGGGCTCAGCTGCACCTGCTGACTTTATCTCTGTATCCAAACTCATGCTGTTGGGCAATGAGACCTTCCCCACCCTACTCACCCCTTCTCAGTCCTCTAGATGGCTATGCAGTCATCCTTTGAGGTTTCTGCATGCAATGCGCTGCTTCTTCTGCTATTCCTTAGTATTGTGTATCAGACTGGAATCCTTGGCCCCAGCTGCAAATGCAGTCACCTGCCAGGGCAAAGCCTGCCTCCTCCATTAGATACAAACTATAAGGTCCCAACTCAAATTAGCCTAACTCCATTTTGTAAAGGACTTTTTATTTTGCAGAAACTGCTTTTCTGAACTCAAGCAGAACCCACTTGCATCTGGTTGCCAACGTATTCCAACCACATGATGTCATAAAAAAGATTGTACAAGCTAACAACCACCTTGGCAAAATATTGAGAACCTGACCACCCCAGTTGCTTCCTGGAACAGCTAGCTGGACCAAATAAATAAATAAAACATCAGGGCTAGCAGAATGACTCAAGTGGTACAGCGACTGCCTAGCAAGTGTGAGGCCCTAAGTTTAAATCCCAGTTATCGCCCCAAAAAAAAGTCAGCAATACATTCCTTCTACATCTTAAATGCTTATAAACTCCAGTGCTAACTTCATTCTGTGCCAATACTTTTCCTCGTATCTGGTCCCTTTCCTCTCTTGGAAAGTGAATAAAACTTTGCTTCTGCCTCAATTCCCACTTTTTCTGTGAAATCTCTCACACCCCATACACTGGCCTTATGAACCAGGATCAAACACAAGGGCAGAATTTGTTAATAAATAAATGAATAAGTAAGTGTAGTGAATTCATTTTAAATATAGGTTAACTTTCTCATGCCAGAAACAGGACTTAGACACCCTGGAGTTTCCAGTTCTCACCTTCTCCCAGCAAATCAAATTTTGATTGGCCAAGATATCTGTCCCTCATGCCTGCTTATGGTGACTGCTTCCCTACAGTACAGCAAAAGGACAGATTCTCTTTCTACAAAGCAGCCCTGGCCAGATTTGGCCCTCAGGTTGTGATCTGCCAAACCCTAGCCTAGCACACATTAGGTGCTCCCAAAACTGAATGAGTGGATCAACTATACCCCATGAGGCCAGTGCAGAGGCAGTGACAATAGGTCTCCAGGTGAAAATACATACTCTGGACTCCCAATTCCACAGTCATTCATCCCCTCATTCACCCTCAACACTACCTCCCTGCCTTTGCTCCAGTACACCCCATCCTCCTGTTGCATGCACCCCTGATGCCATGAGGGCCACCCCTACCATTGAGACCACCTCTGGGCAAGGAAGTGACAATGCATAACCAAGACTGGGAGTTTTTAAACAAGTGCCCTTAGTAATAAAAGAGGTGGAAATTGAAATACTTAAAATAGATGACATAGGAGCCAAACTGTGTCTAAACAGATAGAAGCTGGAGTTTTCCACAAGATGTCAGTGAGTTTTTAACATGCAAATGAGCTACTTCCCTCAGGGTACTTTAAAAGGCCTGCTGATGAAAAACACCTTTCATTATTAAACTCTTTGCTAATGAATCACCTGTCCTGATCTGTTTACTTGCCTTGGTGACTTTCACTTGAGTTGCTTCTTATATTAGCACACACCCTGGAAGGGGTCTGAAGCCACCAAGAGCCTAAAACCTAATCGCTGAGGTAGTATCATTTAGCAATACCTCGCGTTTACGGAGACTTTACACTCATCACATTAGGTATTTCCTGCAACCCAGGGAAATGAGACAAATATCACCATCCCCAGGTACAAACAGGGAAACCAAGGAACAGAGAGGGTAAGGACTAAGCCCATGGCTCAGCCAGTAAAATGGCAGACTTTGAACAGGGCTTTGCCACACCAAGTGTTCAACCCTTCTCCCTTTTATACCACATGGCATCTTTGATGGGGACAGGTGGACCCCAAGTCACTAAGCTTCTTACTACTGACATTGAGTAAACACAGCAGTCATTGAGGGCAGGGACTATCATTGCTAACCCTCTACCATGCCCAAAAAGTGCCGGGCATGTGGCAGGTACTGTTTCAAGCCCTGAAAATAAACAGCAGGTCAAAGATCAAGCAATGTTCCGCACTAGAAACGAGTCTGTTCCAGTCTGTAGAGTTCAACCGGACTGTTTAGTTGTCAAATCAATGATAAGAATGAACTCCATCCTCCTGGACCAGAGGAAACACCCCTGCAGGTCATGAAACCAGGCAACATTAAGTTCAACAAGTGGGAAACTTATGGTCAAACAAAAACCTCCATTCCCTGGACAGAACTAAATGGGAAATCAAGCATTTACTGTTCATGGGAGTCAGTAAGTAGCTGGGCCTTTTCACTTACCAGATAAGGACATCAAAGAAACTTGGCCATGGAGCTAGAAAGTGATAAGTGCCAGAACTTGGAGCCAGGTGTGTCTGCTCTGCTCCGACCAAGAAGGCAAAGAGTGAACAAGAACAAGCAAATTGCTGGGCCCTATTGAGAGAGCCAACAGACTCTCTGACATGGAAATCTAAACCCCAGGAGGTGACTGAGCTGCCCAAAAATAAATAAATAAATAATACATCAAAAAAAAAAATAAAATGCAAACTCTCCCAGCAGAGGTCAAACCTCACATCCATGATGACTGCTGACTAATGGCCAAGCAAATAATGACACAAGACAAATTACAATACAATTAAGGAAAAGCAACACAAATGTAGGGACTACATGAAAAATCTGTATATAGTAATAGGGGAAGGGGGAGTTAACAGTGTGCAAAGTAATATGCACATGTTTGCTATAACTACAAAAGTAAAACTGGTAAATAAGTACAAAAAGGTGTAAAGAAATCACAGGATTTTTTTTCCCCATAAAATAATTGTCCCCAGACCACCAGCATCCACATCTCCTGGGCTCATGTTTTAAAAGATATTCAAATTCTTGGTACCCATACCAGACCTAGACTACCAAACCAGAATCAGAAATTTGGGCGAAAGGACCAAAATTCTGTGTAATAAATAACAAGCCCTCCAGGTGACCCCGCTGCGTGCTAAAGTTTGAGAAATGTTGCAGTAAAAAAATGCTTCAAGAAAACATGTGACTGCAACAAAGTCTAATTCACTTCAACTTCCACAGGTATTTCTTGAGCACCCACTACGCGCCAAGCATGATGGAGGTAATATTAAATACTTGTTGAATCACTTCCTAGTTTGTGGAAAGTAAATGCCACTTTGGGAGAGCTGTACCACCTGTCTTCCACAGACTGCTCTCCACACGTTGGCCGGTGTCCTGCGAAACAGAAGCACTGGGCACCCGCAAGCCTGGGGCACCTCGCAAGCCCAGGTGGAGGGCCGGGATATCGGGATCGTACCCTTGCTCTTAACCGCACCACGCTCCCACCCCAGCCGCCTCCGCCTGGGAGCCCACAAGGCTACCTGGGTGTGAAGGCTTCTCGCCAAGCCACCCGCGGCTCTCCTCCAGCTCGGGTGCACGCAAGGCTGTGACACCGAAGATGACAGTCCACACTAACACCTGCGAGTGCGCCAAGCTGGAGGATCACTGCAGAGGGGCGGGGCACTGCGAGTCACCTGAGCCACGTGGCTGCGCGCCGGCCCCGGGTGACAAGGTCACGGGGCTGCGGTTCCCTCCCGGTCTCCCCCCGCCCCCCTGCAAAGCCGAGCCAAGCCGAGGCCGGCGACCGGCGCGGCAACGACGGTCCCTCCACGCTCCACGTGCCACGGCCTAGCAGCCCAGTTCGCCCCGGCTCCGTGCGGACCTCTGGCGGGACGCCCCTACTCACCCAGAGGGGAACAGCGCCGCTGCGCCCGCTTCCCACCGCAGTCCCCGAGCCCAGAGTTGGCAGGAAACCCGGCCTCCTCCACCCCGCGGCTTGGTTAAGCCGGCGGCGCGCGGCCTGCCGGGACTTGTAGTTCTTCTTGGTCCCTTAAGCTTTGGCACGCCTACCTGAGCCACCGTGATCCTCGCACCCGGATCATCCATCCCTGAAGCAGGAGGAGACTTGGGCACTTTGAAGACACAGAATCTTACTGAGAATTTTATTCAAAAGTCGTTCTAAATCACTGAACGTGGATTTGCGTTCAGTGAAGGATGTAGTTATAAATTTGTAGTTTTTTTATTATCATACATCAACAGAGCAAGATGGATTTGTAGATTTTAAAGGCATTAGAACAAGTACGTGAAGAAATGTACTGGCATTTGCTGCATGGTAAGGATATGCAGGTTAAGCTGAGTTATCTGTGGCCCTCTTGACCTGTATTCATTGAATGTTGACTTAGAAGGTGTACTTTGTAGACATTTATTAGACATTCATTCTATAAACATATAGAGCTATTCCCTTCGTAGGGGAACACAAGATGGGATGGGGGATTGAGTCATCTATTAATTCAGTATAATTCTAATCAAATTGCCAACAAGATTTTTTTTTCTAGACCTTCACAAACTAATCTAAAATGTATTTGGAAAAAAAAAAAACACAGGGCAAAGGATAGTCAAAACATTCTTGGAGAATAGACATGCCTCAAGGACTTGCCCTTCCATATTCTACATTTACCATAAAACTATAAGAATTAAGATCATGTGATGTTGGTATGGGGTCAACAGAGGTGGGAACTTCCTGGAGTGCCCAGAAACACATCAAGGCATCTGTGGAACCTTGATGTCTGACAGGCAAGCATTACAGGTTAATGGGGGAAGATGAACCATTCAGAACATGGGCTGGACACCAGTTATCTGCACAGATCCCTTAACTCACTTCATGCAAAAACCAACTCCAGGTGAACTAGAGACACTGAAGAGGAAATTAAAAGTCTTAAAATCATAACTTTTAGATGGAAATAAAGGCAAACATCATTATGAGCTCCGGATAGGGTTTATTAAATGCCATAAGCACAAACTGTAAAGAAAACTTTAATAATTTTTAACTATATTAAATTTAAGAATCTTTCTTCATTGAAAGACATCCTAAAGAAAAGAACAAGCCACAAACAAAGAAGGCAACTGCAGCACAGAGACAGCAGTTGTATAGAATTGAACACAGCCCCCACTATCTCAAGTTTGCAATTCATACCCATTGAAATAAAAGGATTAATCACATCCAATGGTGTAAGAAGTGTTAGAGGTATAAACAACACGTATAGGAACACAAAGAAGGGGGCATTAGTTTTGCCCAGAAGATTTTTGAAATACTCTGTAAATTAAGCATTGACTTACTAGGCTGGTAATTAAAGGTTGAATAGGGGCTTCCCAGGAGCAGGCTGTTGGGGAACAATCCAGGCACAGAACAAGTCATGGAAAAAAGCACAAAGGTTAGGAGCCAGTGGCTTATACCTATAATTCTAGCTTCTTGGGAGG